AATTTCACGACTGGATTTGTTGCACAGGTGGCATCCTATCACAGTTCCACGCTGGAATTCACTGAGCTCCTGAGAGCGACCCATTCTTTCACAAATGTTTGTAAAAACAGTCTGCATGCCTAGGTGCTTGAATTTATACACCTGTGGCCATGGAAGTGATTGGAACACCTGATTCCAATAATTTGGATGGGTGAGCAAATACTTTTGGCAATATAGTGTATATTTAAAGAAAAATGACAAAGGGGAGACGTTTTTATAAAAGGCTGGTTACATTTCATTGCTTCATAGTATTGTAATGATGCCAGTAACGCCGACGTCAATGTTTATTTAGAAAACACGAGCTGTTATTCCTGAGGCTACAGCTTACACCCCTAAAACATGGCTAGCACACACCTGGTAGCTTCTCTGTTAGCCTTGCTCAACCCGCTCAACACTTCCGGTCCTGAAACCGCTGCCTATCACATGGGAGCAGGAGTCAGCAGAGTCAGGCGAAGGAAACACATAAAAGAAAGGAACACAATACACATAACCGTATGGACCCCAATAGAACCAAACACAGGATGAAACACAGAATCCTTACAGTATTATTTTCCGTTTAATTTTTAGCATTTTTAGAGCTAAACCTGCAAATGTTTGCATACGCCTTCATTTTTTTGTTTGTTTCCTTAAAGGCATACTATGCAACATTTTTCAGTTAATTAATGTGTTCCATAACGTTTTGGATGATTAAAAGAGTCATTTCAGGTCGAACAAAGGTTTTCTCGGCCGCCCTGGTGGTCTGTAGGGGAAATACCGTACTTGCAATTGCAGGAGTCCTCGGCCCGCACCCACAGGCTCAGAAGTCTCGTGCATCGCGAGAGTTGGTCTTGCTTTACGGCGAGACCTTGGCTAACTACAATCTTTGTTATTTAGACACATGCATGACAAATAATGTATGAAAACATGCTAAATTTTCAAACTCGAAAATTGGAACAAAATAGTCACATACCGCAGTAGACATGGTGATTCATTGCGTTCGCCTGTCTGCTAAGCTCAAAACAACCGCGCCTGGCTTGACGGAGAAACCAGGAGAACAGCTGAGCATATTTACGACAGTGCACTTTTACTTTCGCCCACTGGGGGGAGCCTCGCTGGAAAATCAACACCGGTTGCATAGTGTACCTTTAAGTTCAATGTATTTTAATAGCATTTATTCTGCAGAATAATTGTGGATGGATCATTACTAACTATCCAAGGTTTTTTATACATCAGTTTATATCAAAGTTCATGCATGTGTTCAATACTGAATCAACTCTGTGGAAAGATTTAAACATTTCTGTTTGCAGGTGATGCTTTAATAATCTGACTCCGCCAGATGGATTTGCTCCGCATATCCATCTGGAAACCTTCAGTTGAAGTAATTTTGGGAAGGGGCGAAAATACTGGTTAGCTGATTGGCCTATGTTGGTGATAGACGTGCCAAATAAACCAATCAGATCAACGAAGCATATGACGTACTAACAGAGCGACGACGAAGAGGAGCCAATTGATAGATCAAACTCTTGCTGAAACCAGTCGGGAGAAGAGCAAAAGCATCTTTTCCTCTGAGAAAAGCCTCCAGAGCAGTGTTTTGCTCTTCTTTCAGTGAAGAAATATTCTGTAATTCCGATAAAACGTGCTGGATAGCCACGCTAACGCTAGTTTCATCGGCTGAAGCCGCCATATTCTTTAGACTGAACTGTCGCGCTTCTCGTTACGTCACACCTCAACCCGCCTCAAAGCCAACGCTTATTGGACGTTCGTTTGGTGAACAGCTCCAAATTTTCTTTAACGGAGAGTCTCCAGACTGATCTGCGAGTGAAACCTTGAAAGCTCGCGAGATCAGGATGGTCTCACGAGGCTAATGCTTTAATTCCATTATGAAGGAAAAGTCCGGTTATATTCAGAATTCAAACTTCTGAAAGTACTTTAAATATGTAATAATTACATACTGTTCAATAAATGATAAGTGTTTTTATTCTTTTACTGATTAACGCTAAATTCATTAAATCACTGCAAACGCATTAGTTTTAGTTATAAAAATTGGTAAATGGCAAAATGTTAAATGTCCTGTACTTATAAAGCGCCTTTATTCAAGTCAGGAGACTTGACCAAAGCGCTTTACACTACATTCATTCACCCATTCACTCACACACTGATGGTGGCAAGCTACATTGTAGCCACAGCTGCCCTGGGGCTCACTGACAGAAGCGGGGCTGCCGTACACTGGCGCCACCAGGCCCTCTGACCACCATCAGTAGACGATGCAGGTGAAGTGTCTTGCCCAAGGACACAACGATACTGAAAGTCGAAGTCGGGGCTTGAACCGTCAATCCTTCGATTTCAGGGCAAACTCCTACATCCAACGCCACTGTTGATTGGCGTTGGATCAATAGATAATTATCAATTATCTATTGATTATTCCTTGCTGACCAGACTTTTCCTTTAAAAAGATCAACAGACAAAAACTTCAGTCTTTAGATGTATAAAGCAGGTAGAGACACACCCTGAAACATAACTGGTTTTACAAATCATTAACTCTGAAGGAGATGACCGAAAGGCGAACAACACTTTGCATATTTTCCTTTGTGAGAAAAATGTTAACCATGCATCATCTTCCACTTAATGACGCTCTGCTCTCTCAGCCTGTCACATAAAATCCCAACCAACGACGTTGAACTGTGAGAAAATTGACTGCATTTTTTTACTAGTTCTTCTATGATGCTCTCAGCTTTTGGAAATTGTCACTAAAATGAATTATTATGTGAATCTGTATAAATTGTGCAAGATTAAAAAGACAGAATCAATCCTGTTTGAACTCGTAGAGATGTGGATGATCCATTGCTTTCACACTTTACAGCATTTAAAGCCTTTTCATGGGATGAACTGATAATATAATCAACTGGTGCAGAGAAAATACATCAACACATAAATGTGAATCACCATGATGTGCTGAGCAGCCAGAGCTGCAGCCTGTTCTGTGAAGCCCACAGAATAATGGTTTTTATTGCAGGGGACATTAATTACTGTAGCTTCAGGTTTCCCTCGGGTTCAGGCGGGACATTCAGGCTGTACTGCGGCGGTCTGTGTTTGGGCGGAAATTTGTTAAATAAGTCACTTTGCGAGAGTGTGCTGCATATTTTCCAACCCCACAAAAAGTGTTTAAAATAAGAGCGGCGATGGAGTGCATGTTTACAGTGTTCCTCTGTATTTCTTTTTATTGAGGGACATTAAATGTCTTATTGTCACATTTATCAACTCACATAAAGATGAAACGCCTCAAGAAATTCAACAAAAAAAAAAAAAAAAAACATAAAATAAATTTTAAGACCTACTGTTAGTTCAGCATTTGTTGTTTGGATAATGTTTTCTGGGCTTCAGTATGGCGTCACATTTATTTCAAAAACTGTAGACCTTTAATGTAATAAAACAAGATGCGTGGGATGGAGAGATACTGAAGTATGGCGTCAGATTTATTTCAAAAACTGTAGACCTTTAATGTAATAAAACAAGATGCGTAGGATGGAGAGATACTGAAGTATGGCGTCAGATTTATTTCAAAACGCCCGTGAGCAAAATAAACATACTCAAAGTGTATGTTAAACTACTTCTGCGCGTTTTATCTACCATCGCACAACATGCGCAAGAACCTGCCGTTTCCAGAAAAGAAAATCGCTCTCCTCGTGAACCACAGTGCAAAAAATGTAAATCTAAATAAGTCATTTTTTTCCTTAAAATAGGTGCATTTTTTCTTGAATTCAGGCGGTACACTGCAAAAACGATCTAGAGATGAGAAAAAACGTCTTAAATTAAGTGTATTTAACCTTAATTTGAGCAGTAAATGAGATGATTTGCCAATGGAATTAGTATTTTTACTTAAAATAAGATATTTAGATAAAATGCACTTGGAATAAGACAACGCAATTGTGTTTTCTCATTTTAGGTGTAAATTGTCTTGTTCCATTGGCAAAGTGTCTCCTTTACCTTCTCAATTCAAGAACAACTGCACTTATTTGAAGAAAAAATTACTTCTCTGGATGTTTATTTTTTCCAGTGTAAGACACTTTGCCAAAGGAACAAGACAATTCACACTTAAAATAGGAAAAGAAATATTGCATTGTCTTATTTCTAGTGCATATTCTCTAAATATCCTATTTTAAGTGTAAAAGAACCTCATTCAATTGGCAAATCATCTTATTTACCTAGACAAATTAAGAGTAAATGCACTTGATTCAATAAATTTTCTCTTATTTCTAGATCATTTTTGCAGTGCAGCTCCTCCCAGGTACCCTCGGGATCATAGTCGAGGATGGCTGTGCTATCGAAGCACTCGGACTGCTTTTCTCCCCGTGCGTTGAGATCCCGAGCACGCCTGGGAGGAGCTGGTGCGGGCGGAGAGCGATTTTCTGCTCTCAAAGCGGCAGTTTGTCGCGCATTGGTGATTTTGTTGTGCAGTGGTAGATAAACCACGTGCAGAAGTAGTTTAACATACATTTGAGTATGTTTATTTTGCTCACGTGTATTTTGAAATAAATCTGACACCATACTTCAGTATCGCTCCATCCTACAGGTCTTGTTTTATTAAATCAAAGTTCTACAGTTGGTGCCATTTTCTTATCAAACTTGTTTATGCTTTGTTTTTCATATTGAGAGTAAAAAAAATCATAAAGTAAAATATCTACTTATCTTGAATCACAAAGGGCTCTGTGTGTTTGTGCTAATTGGAAGGTAGAGAACAAGATTAGCTTTAGAGATAAATTATATTTCAAAATCTAAAAGTATGTGACGAAAGCTTTCCACGACTCCTGCCTTTTTTTTTTGTCCCAGTAGTGTTATGGTTTGCAGAGCATCCCTTCCTATCCAAAAACCTGCTGAGTCATGGTTCCTTGATCTGAGTGACCACCCTGTAATGAGCCTGATGAAGAACCCCTTGGATGCGAAATGATTTGTTCCTTTGTTTTCTTCTCCTCTGTCCTATCCAGGGGCGTTGCTGAGCTCGTTACCTCGTCCATGCAGGCTGATGCTGTTTGTCAACCCACAGAGCGGAAAAGGAAAAGCGCTCACCTTGTATAACAGCCACATTCAGCCAATGCTCAGTGAGGCAGGGGTTATACCTACGCTCATCATCACAGGTGAGTGGACTTATTGGCTGAACTATGCACCGCGCAGTAATGGTATACGTCCATGAAAGAAAGCTGAGGCTCAGATTATTTGAAGCCAAGACCAACAATATTGTTTTGCTTTGGATTTTACGTTTGGAAAAACACAACACATCCCCTCAGGTAACGGTGAAAAATAAGAATGATTCTAGGGGCCCGTGATTGACAGGTGGCCCCTAATACAGTTATAATACTGCTAAAAAAAGATACAACACTCAGTCAGGGGTGGGTTTAGGAAATTTGGGGCCCTAGGCAAAGACAGGCAGGGGCATCTTTATGATCCCTTTTAGGGGTGTAAATAATAATCGTTTTGTATCGATGCATCGATCCAACAGCCGACGATCCGATGCATCGACACGTCCGCAAGAGAATCGATTCATGTTTTTTTTCCCTCCGGTCTATTTTTATCCATTTGCTCCTGGGTGTAATTCTCCCTCCCGTGCTGCGGTGGCGCTAAACCTATTTTGCCGTCCTACCTCGCTTCCTGGTTATACTCTTACAGCAGTGTGTTGCAGTGAGCTTGACACAGACATTTTTAAATCATGCTCAGTATTGAAGCGTGGTCTGAGCTACACGCTGTGGGTCTAGATACGGCCGAGGCGGTGAGGAAGTGGGGGCGAGTTTAGTCCGACGACGGAGGGAAATGAGGGCCAAAAAGAGCAGAGATCCAGGTGGAAAAAGGGTCCCAGCGTTCTCGCGCACCTCGCTCTTCTAGCGGGTCAAACTTCACGAGTTGTTTTCCGCAATTTGGGTCATAAAAACAAAACAAGCCGGCCTCCTGTCTGCGGCGCTGCCTGCGGTCAGCTACAATTTGGGAGAGGAGCAGCAGAGCGTCTGTGGAGGGGGCGGGGTGTCTGGAGCAGAGGTATTACATTGCACTCATTGCACTGATTATGTGCAGGATTTTTGCAGGATTTTTTGATGCAAAGCCTTTCAGAATCTATAACGCAGGGATATTATTATTTTTCAGGGAATGAGGTTTTAATAGGAGTAGGTGGGGTGCAACTTTTCTACTTCTGTTATTTTCTGTTGTTTCTCAGAAAAAAGCGTAACGATATTACAGCTTTCATTGATTTATTTGAAATTTGAAACAATGTCTAGCCTGTAAGGTAAAAAAAAACAAAAAAACAATTGAATCGTATCGTGGTGTATTCCTGAGTATCGATTATAATCGAATCGTTGGGTCAGGAAATCGATACTGAATCGAATCGCCATGATGGATGTGATTTACACCCCTAATTCCTTTGCACTTTAAGATAAACCGTTTTTCTGCATCTAATATAAAATGTACTTTGACCATCTTTCCATCGGCCTGTTTGGGTTCATCATATTTTTCGTTCCGATGTGCCATTTTATAAATGGACTAAAAGCAGATATGAAACGCGAGCAGAGTTTGAAGTCCAGGTTTAAAGTGTTAAAGGATGATTAGATTATGGCAACAAAAATTCAAATGAAACTTTTACCAGAAACCTGAGTAACTGAGAACCTTTGCCTTCCCATGTTTGTCTCTGTTCACCTGTGTTTCACTCGTCTAGATTTAATCCTCTGTTTGTTTTCATGTGTTCACCTTCATTATGCCGATCAGCTGCCTCTAAGCCGTATGCAAATAGAGCAGTTATGTAATAAACCATTTACACGCAGCTAGATGCAGTAGTGCACAGAAACATTAACACCTAAATCTGTTTTACATATGTTTTTTATGTGATCTTTTTCAGCCCAGTGGGCATGATTTCTAAACTCTGCATGGATAAAACAAGTCGTTTGGTTACGAACTCTGATTACTGATCTGCAGATTAGCGCTAAATGCTTTAATACGGGGCTCGTTTTGCCCCTTTTTTCTGTGCTTGTTAATGTCCATGAAATCTGTCTGATTACAGGAAAGGATAATCTGTGAAAAAATAAGCAGAGTCACTGAATAGAAATAATCTAAGGGGTTTTACTTTTGTAAAAAGATAAAAACAGTTTCTTTTTGACCAGTTGACATTTTTGACCTGGTAATCCAGCAGATTGTAAACATCTATGAATCAGCATGGCCAGCAGCAGGGACAGTATGATCCTCCTGTAATTGTCAATCTTCTGAGATAAATCCTTTTTGCCTAATCTCTCCCAAATGACTCTGACTAATGGCTCACTGGAACAGAATTAACGTCCCTCTCTGCCTCCAAATAACTCTTTAAAAAACAACAACAAATCCTTACTGAACTAAATTATATGTAAAGTATTTCTCAATGAAATTATTCCGCTATATTTACATTTTTAAATATTATTTGCTTTTGATAAATTATCTTTTTTTTTATTTTTTAAAAACACGCTTAAAGCAAAAGAACTCTCGTATTGGTCACTAGACGAACGGTAAGTCAGATTACTTCTCAGTATAAATCTCCACCTTTATTGTGACACAAAGTTATAGCGAATTGTTTTTTATTATGATACGACATTTGCTGATATCACATTACGATGTAACCTGACTCCGTATATCCATCTGGAAACCTTCCGTTGAAGTAATTTTGGGAAGGGGCGAAAATACTGGATAGCTGATTGGCCTATGTTGGTGATAGACGTGCCAAATAAACCAATCAGATCAACGAAGCATATGACGTACTAACAGAGCGACGACGAAGAGGAGCCAATTGATAGATCAAACTCTTGGTGAAACCAGTCGGGAGAAGAGCAAAAACATCTTTTCCTCTGAGAAAAGCCTCCAGAGCAGTGTTTTGCTCTTCTTTCAGTGAAGAAATACTCTGTAATTCCGATAAAACTTGCTCCATAGCCACGCTAACGCTAGTTTCATCGGCTGAAGCCGCCATGTTCTTTAGACTGAACTGTCGCGCTTCTCGTTGCGTCACACCTCAACCCGCCTCAAAGCCAACGCTGATTGGACGTTCGTTTGGTGAACGGCTCCAAATTTTCTTCAACGGAGAGTCTCCAGACTGATCTGCGAGTGAAACCTTGAAAGCTCACGAGATCAGGATGGTCTCACGAGGCTAATTACGATGTGCGATCAATACAACGCGATATCTTCTACCTTTTAATTATTTACATTTCTATAATAACAATAATAATAATTTAACTTTATTGATCTCACGTTGGAGAAATTCACCTCTCCATTTAACCCATCCCTTTGGCTGCCATTGTGCGGCGCCCAGGGAGCAGAGTGGGGTTAAGGGTCTTGCTCAGGGACCCACAGTGGCAGTCTGTGGAAGTGGGACTCAAATTTAGAACTTCTGGGATCAAAGCTCTATGCCCTAACCACTAGGCCGCCACTGCCCAATATCAAATCATATATTTTACAATTTTATTCCTAAAATCTTGCAGGCATCTTTAAATAAATAAAAAACTGTATTTTTATAACTATAAAAGTTATCATAATCAATTGATTGACTTCAAATTAAAAGTGTATCCTGACAATGTGGACCAATGTTTCCTTTATCTATGCAACAGGGTCATTAATTATTTAATCGATGCATCAGGGTAGATAGAGGTATTGTTACACCTCTAATTAAACCCCTGCAGTCATATTTAGAACAAACTGCTACTCAATCTTATAAATATAAGTACTAAAAAATTGTTCAATGTCTGGTTTAGCTGTTTGCCCCAATGATGTTCTTCCCTTGTTCACATCTACAGTAGATGTGGAGCAATGTCAGATTCTCACAGAATAAAATGTATGACACTGTTTCATACAAATATATCTTAACATGTCTAAACTCCTTTCATTAAAAACAGATACCACATTTTTTTATTCATTTGCAGCTTGTCTTTGGCCTTGAATATATTATATTAAACCTGGGCATTATGGCTGAAAAATCTCATTTTATATTTTTTTGTGACAAAATCTGTTTAAATTATTTATTTTCTTCACTTAAGTTTCATAATAAAAGGACAAATAACATATATTGTTTTGGAAAAAATCGGATCTGATTTCAATTGTTGAATTGATCTGAATTTTAAAGGCAACAAAATTCAAGCTGTGAAACATCTAAAATAACCGTGTTTCACCCTGGCCCTTTAAGGGGGAGGATTATAGAAGAAAAACAGTCTCATTGGAATCTGCCTTTTTTTTAACACCAAATTTTAAGCATCATTTTAAACACTGAATTTTTTTAACACCGAATTTTAAACACTGAAATGTTTTAGACATTGAATTCCTTACACTCAATTTTTATCTGGTAAATTTTAAGCTGCAAAAGTGTTGTTTTGCTGAACTCAAGCCAAAGCAATCTACACTCGATAGAGTCGAGCAGCTTCTAGCCAATGAAATCAGCTCATTTGGTCACGTGACACAACGGCTGGGCTCAGCGCTGTTCCCGGCTCAATGAGGAATTTTTTTTGTTAAACAGAATTACAAAACGTCAATTAGCTACTAACAGACAGCTATTAGAGTTTTTCCTCTTATCAGACTGGGTGAAACAACTAAGCCGATCACAGCTAGTACGGCACCCCTGTCTGTTTTCCACCGCCATGTTGCCTCTGGCCGAAATGAAGAACAAAAAAAGTTTGCCGCCGGCCGCTTCTTCCGGATCAAACCGAGAGCTTTGGCAGACAGGGATGCCGTACTATTAACTATTCTGCCTAATTACTGGTTTGCTCTAATTATTCTAATCAAAAATATTGTCATATTCTAATTGATCTGACATTTTTGCTCTTATCTAGAAAGGTCCTTGAAATTTCATAAAAACAGTTTTCACTTATTTATTTTTATTTTTCTCAAGTTTGCAAATTCAGTATGAAATCCTAGTGGGTACAAGAAAACATTTTCAGCGTTGTCCTTCATTACATTTCTTAGCCTCATGATCAAAAAAAGATTAATAAGCGTTAAACATCATGGACAGTGAGGAACAAAGTTAAAATACTGACCCACAAAACCTTTTTTTCCAGCAACAGACATCTGTTCTGTTTAAAATATTTTATCTTTAACAGAAAAGTACTATATCAGTAAAGAAATGATGACAGATCAGATAAGATATTAGTGA